ATCCAGGCTGCGGGGGGAGGGTGGTGGGATTGGGATGCCTTTCAGGCATCCCGGGCTTGGATCCCACCAACCGCCGGTTACCCTTTAAGCGGCGGGGACAGGGTGGGGGGTGGATCAGGAAGCTTGAAGCCTCCCCGCTCCGCTTACCCAGGCCGTTCTGGGACTTCCAGAAGTCCGAGAACGGCTTGGGTAAGCAGCATTCTCTTTTATCAAAAATATGGTCATCCTGACTGGTAGCACAATCATATGATCTGAATGCATATGTAAGAAGTAAGTATGTACTTCAATCTTGAGTGGCATTTTAAAGATTATGAGTTGGATTCAGACTTGGTTGTCAGTAGTGCTCACTGATTCATTGGGAACTATATTCAACTGAGGTAACTCTGGATCCAACTCTGCTAATTATTTTTACACACTATTTCCCTCACAGTATGCAAAGGGCACTAACCTTCTCAGGCGTCAGCTTCATCAGTTCCATATTTTCCATACTGTGGCGACGTCCTACCCGGGGTCTAGTGCCTTGAAATGGAGAAATAAAGTATTTTGAAGAAGAATTTAGTAATAGGATATAAAACATATAGCTACTGGGGTAGGGGATTCCTAATGCCCGATTTTTTTTTAAATCAAATTAACTCATATTTTGAAGCCATAAAAGGACATGCTAGCCTTTTTTCTTTAACCACTGTCGACTAAAACTGCAATCAGATACTACATTAATATCTTAAATTATTTTTATTTCTCTATAAAATCCATTTTTGTGGCTATTCAAATGTTACCCCATCATTTGTTAAGCTATAATTTACCCCTTTATGCATTCTCAGTTAATGTTTCAATGCATTCAAATGGTTTCTTTAAAGGGAATAATAGGACATTCAAAGCTAAACGAGTTATAGGTTTTCCATGTTTGACTTTAATTCCTAGATAGGCCTACAAAAGTGGTCTAATAAATACTTTCAGAAAGTAATTTATTTATTTATTTATTTATTTATTTATTTGTTTGTTTGTTTGTTTATTTATTTATTTATTTATTTATTTATATCCCGCCTATCTGGACCAACGGCCCACTCTAGGTGGCTTCCAATACAAGACAAGACAATAAAAACACAAAATACAGTATACAAAATATATATTTTGTATATATATGTACAAAATATATATGTAGGTATCCTTGTCTCCTTAGAAAAAAAATGCTATGCCCCAAATCCAGGAGCTGCTGTTTCTCATTAAGAACAACATCCAAAATATTCTGCGGCCTTCTGACAGCCTTCCAGAAACTTTGAAATTGCACCCTGGAGTAGTATATGTACAAAATATATATGTAGGTATCCTTGTCTCCTTAGAAAAAAAATGCTATGCCCCAAATCCAGGAGCTGCTGTTTCTCATTAAGAACAACATCCAAAATATTCTGCGGCCTTCTGACAGCCTTCCAGAAACTTTGAAATTGCACCCTGGAGTAGCAGGCAAGGGTCCAACCTTACAGGCAGCAGTGATTCCAGCCTCTCTTTCCAGGCTTGTGTACTAGCAGTAAAGTAAGGTTTTGGCTGACCTCCCAAGAGCTCATACTTTTAAAGTGTTTCCTCATAGCTTCTTGTATGATATGGCATGTTAAAACAGCTGTTCATGAGCAGCTGGCCAGTGCCACTGAGTGTAACTTGCAAAAGAAGGAAAGAGTCCTTTGCACACTATACCTGGAGTTAAGTTTCCAGATGTACAGCTCACCACCAAATGTGGCAAGGAGAACAAGAACTGTTCCTGATGCATTTGTGAGCCACAAGCAATGATCCACCAGGTTGCACAGCCCACTTCTGGTTTGATTAGCCAGTGGTGTTACTAGGTGGAACCAACAGAGACCAAGTACTTTGTCCATGCACGCAGCTCTTTCAAGATTAAATCAGAATTCAAGACAAATCGTCTTAACTGTTAAAGTTAAGTCCACCTGCATGAAGGATCCTCTAAGACTGCAATCATATATACTAATGCTATTTGGCTTCTTATATGATCTATTTTAATGTAGTGTAGAGAAACAAAAGGATGAACCCAGCAGATAAATTATATATATAACTGAAGGAACAAATGCATTATTCAGTAATCAAAATAGAAGCACTTACCATTCAAGCCATTATCTGGAATATGATTTTCTGTCATCACTGAGTTATTAGTGCTAAAACTTAGACCAAGAACCATCTGAAGATCTGAGAGGTTAAGCTTAGCTGTTAGCTCTCCAGTTTTATCTCCCACCTGCAACCAAAAATACATTTTCTAGTTTTTGTTTGTTTGTTTGTTTGTTTGTTTATTTATTTATTTCATTTATATACTGCCCCTTTATGCATGCGCTACTCTGGGCAGTTTACAAGTTAAACTTAAAAATTCCACAGAACCCACATAACAGTATATACAACAATATGGTGAATTTTTTAAAAAATCATATAAAAAAAGACAACAGAGAACAAAAAATAATATTAACAGCTTCCAGGAGTCAGTTGTAGAAGACAGCTTCTATTTTAAATCTTGAATAGTGTTTCAGTGTTATATTGAACAATTACTATGTCAACTATCTACAAATATGTGAAACCAAGAATCTTGTGAGACAGGTTATGGAATCTGAAATTTCCATGTACTCTGTTCAACATTTCAAAGATTTCAATCTGTATACACCTAAGACGAGCATAATGCCATCTGTGACTAGATGCCAAAGAAAATGAGAAGGTAAATAACTTACAATTGTATCTTTCTTTCAGTTTCTTTCTGATGGAGTCTTAAGGCTTGCAACAAAGTCTCTTTTCCTCTAAATAAATAAACTGTATTTGTTTGCACATTGTGTGTGGTTTTAGAGGACAATCAACTGGGAATTTTACATGTGCAACCATAATCAAAACAAGGGTGAAATGCCCAAGTATCTCTATGATTTTGTCCATTTTTCACTTGGCTGCAAGCTACAGTAACTATTTCAAGATACGTCACACCTGATTGCAGTTTGATCAATATTATACATAGCTCATTTGAAAGAAAAGGCACAGAGCAGTGAGCCCAAAACACATGCACATACCTCTCGTGAAATGTCTAAGTGTTTTTCTGCATAATGCATTGCTTGATCGTGGTTCCCCAGGGCTGTGTATGCATTACCTAAACTCCAGCATGCTCTTCCTTCACCAATTCTAAAAAATTGTTCAACAGTGTTACACTCATTAAAATCTCTACTTTCTAATTGTTGAAGCTAGTAAGCACTCCTTATATTATGTCAACAGACAGCAACAGGAATACAAACTGCACAACTTCTAGGGATGGGATTTTTGCAATTCTAGGACTTTCAGTCCCAGATGTTTTAGAAACCCCACCCAGTAGGCTTCTAGGACTAGGGGAGCAGAAATCAGAAGGTAAAAAAAGATGTGTTTCTTCCTGCATATTGTGCTTCTCTACACTTGCATCAGCTGGGAAACAAGGGAACTGCCACAGTGGTCTGTGGTAGCTAGGGGATGCTTGCTACCCATCAAGCTGCAGGAGGAACCTCTCTCTGAACTACTGTTCCATGGAGGCAGCTCCCAAGAAGCAAGGTGATGGGGGAGGAGCCAAATCACATGGAGACAAAGGCAACAGAAAGGAAGCCTGATAGGGCCTAGCTAGGGAAGTGACCAGTTAGGTTTTGGACTTTAAAAGAGGTTTCAAGCAAGACTAACTTCTGTCATTTCCTAAGATTAAGAGACAGTCCTAGGAGAGACTATCAGGGAAAGAATTAATAAAAGCAAACAAGCCTTTCTAGAAATGACTAGCTTTTTAATCAGCAGTTCATGTTGCTACACTGAATCAACAAACCTGCTATAAAATATATACTACAGTGGGGTCTTGACTTGAGAACTTAATCCGTATTGGAAGGCGGTTCTCAAGTCAAAAAGTCTGTAGGTCAAGTCTCCATTGACCTACAGTGCATTGAAAACCGATTAATCCCGTAACAGGCTGTTTTTGTTCCAATTTGGTTTTTTTCTGGTCTGTAAGTCAATTCTCAGGCTGCAAGTCAAACCTAAATTTTGCAGCCAGAGAAGTCTGTAACTCAAAAAGTCTGTAAGTCAAGCCGTCTGTAAGTCAAGGGTCCACTGTACACCTTCAACAGAGTAACCACCAAGCTTCAAAGAATTTTTAAAATAAACTGCAATTTCATATATAAATGGGTTAAGGGATAAATGACTTAAAGGACACTCAAAATATTAAATACCACAAACTTTGGCTTAAGTATTAGACTACCAACAATACGAAATATTATTATTTACAAAAAGAAAAAAAAAGAGTATTTAAGGTTTAATCACTCTTGGATTCTCTCTCCCTACCAGCTTCCTATCATTAGTAGGAAGGCCACACTCCTCACCAAATCCACCACTCAACTGAAACAAACCCTTTTTTGTTTCAATGTCCCCTTCCCAATTTACAAATGCTTTTATTTGTTTGCAGACAATTCAAATTTCAAGGAACGTATGACAAACTCTCATTAAAGAAGGTAGTCAGACAATGTGGGCTACGAGTATGAATCATTAAAGTTAAATACTTCATTTATTTTATTAGGGTGTTTATATACTGTTCTTAAGACTACATTTGATAGCTTTTAGACCTTAGGATTCTATGGCTGCTTCTCCCTCCTTCACCTGGCAGATAAAAAGTATCTGAGGCATTTTATTTTAAGTCACTGAGAGAGGTTTAAAATGTTAATTGTTTTTCTGTATCAAGGCACAAGAAATACAGCACATGCAAATCTTCAGTGTAACAACTTTCAAGTGTTTCTGTATGAATTGCCGTTAACCCAAGGCCTTATGCTAACATACTGTAACTGCTTATGAACAGCTTACTCCTTCCTAGAATGGGCAAATAGCTTTTTATTTCAATTCACAAGCACCTTGTTCCTCCCTTATATTTTCTTGACTTGGGGAATGCTGAAATTGGTCCTACTTGTCTAATCCCATCTAACCCCTTTTACTGCAAAGCCCGGTATAGCAGTTTAACTGCAAATGCAGTTCTCCCACTCTGCTGGCTGACTGATTGCTACCTGCTGAATGAGATGATGAGATTTTATTGCTCATGAAAAAGGGACATGAGTTATAAAAGACCGAGAAACATGGATTTAGAGACTCTACAAATATGTTCTATTAATCTTTCAAATGCTATCTTAAATGTGGGTATGCAGAAACATAAGCCCCCACATTTCCAAAAGACGCAGAATCAAATATGTTGTCTCTGTTTAGTGAAACAATTCTTCAAAAGAACAGAATTATTCAATTTAAATACACATTTCACTAATACAAAATTCTAAACAGGTGTCCTAAAACATAATATAAATCTTAACAGCAGAAAGTCAGTTAATCCCAGTGTTAATTATGCGTCTTTTTTTTAAAAAAAACCTGTGTATTACTGGAAGGCTTTCAGTGTTCAATAACATTGCTACTTCCAAACACTTCACCAGAATGACTTTGAGCTTCTCTCTCTTAAACAGCAGCTCTCATGCTACAGATCACTGCTGAGAAAGAATTGTCCCGAGCAGTTTACAATATAGCACGAGTGTCTGCAAAATGGCAAACTGTTTGCCTGTAGCTGTGCTCCTTCAAGTAGGCATCATAAATTCACATTTATGGTTTTTGCACCTGCACAGACACTAGCCTCAAAAACTTCCAGATTTTAAAAAGTGTTTCCCCTCTCCTGAAGCCACACATACCTTAATGCTCTCCCTCAGTTCTCCTCTACCAGCCACTTGAAAATTCAGACAAGTGTGAAAGACAGGGGAGGGGGGCGGAACGTGTGAATTCATTGATTACCACTTGAAGAAACACAGCTACAGGTATGCAGTTTGTTTTTCCTCTTTGTGATCTCCATGAATCACACATATGGGTGACTACGAAGCTCAGTTACTCACTGGGAGTATATTACACCATCAAAGAGGAAAGCACTGCTAATGCAAAGGAAGCATCTTATCCAGGCTGTAAGTACTTCACAAATCTGAGCAGATATCAGCAGCTAGCTTCTTTGCGGACATGAGGCAGAGTTTAGGGAAAGCTCTCTGGATACTGAATAACTATTTGAGATGAGATGGTTGAGGAAAGTGGTTCAAGTTCCTGCTGACAATACTACAGCAACATATTACAGAAACAAACAAGGGCACATACTCTTTCTCCATCAAATTAGCCCAGGAGAGACGGTCAGTTGTCCAGTGCCTGACAGACTGGATAGATGTCCATGCAAAAAGACGGGTTACTTACCTGTAACCATGGTTCTTCGAGTGGTCATTCTGTGAATTCACACAAAAAGGGTTAAATCAGCGCCAGCACTGGGTCTCCTCGGAACGTTCTAGAGCTCTAAAATCAGCGCCAGCGCTGGTCTCCTCGGAACGTTCTAGAGCTCTGTAAAAAAGAAACATAGTTAGAGATTGCCTATACTGCGCATGCTCCGCCCAACCCAGCCTCAGTTCCATTTATCCGCCACAGGTAGAGAGCAAGAGCTAATGAGCCCAGTGATAGATAGTGGGGAGGCCTGTGTGAACTCACAGAATGACCACTCGAATGACCCGTCTTTCTTCATCGTGGTCTTCTGTGAATGCACACAAAAAGGGTGACTGGTTAGCTTACTCACCGGAAGGAGGGCCGTCACTGAAATGCGGATGCCAATACAGCTCTCCCAAATCTGGTGTCTCTCTTGGCCCTGAGGTCCAGTCGGTAGTGGGTGACAAACGTGGACACTTGGGACCAAGTAGCAGATCTGCATATGTCTGATAAGTCAACGCCACGGAGGAGAGCTGAAGAGGCAACTGCTCTGGTTGAATGAGCACGCAGGCCTTCGGGCGGAGTCCTTTGTTGGATCTCATATGCCAAAGCTATTGTTGAAACAAGCCATCTCGAAAGTGAGGAGGGAGAGGCTGGAAGACCCTTGTTTTGTCCAGAATAACAGAGGAAAAGTTTTGGCGAACGCCGAAAGTTCAATGTCCATGAAACATAAAAGGAAAGTGCTCGTTTTACATCCAGAGAGTGGAGCATGCGCTCGGTGTCATTTGTAGGAGTTGAAAATAGAGTAGGCAGAATGAGGGGCTGGTTCAAATGGAAGCCGGAAACTACTTTGGGGAGGAATGATAAGTCAGTATGCAATACCACCTTGTCGTGGAAAAACTGTAAAAACGGCTGATCGATGAGTTCGCTGGCTTGACGGGCAGATGTGATAGCCACCAAGAATAATACCTTGAGGGACAACAGTTTGAGGTCACAGGTGGCTAACGGCTCAAAAGGTGGACGTGTCAGGGACTGCAAGACCAGGTGAAGCGACCATTGCGGCACTGGTCGTCTGATGGGTGGTCTCAGTTGTGTAACCCCTTTGAGAAAGGCTTTAACCGTCGGATGGGAAAAAAGGCGGGAGGCCGGAGAGTCGCAAGGTTGGAAAGATACAATGGCAGCAACATAAACCTTCAAAGTCGAGACAGATAACTGAAAGTCAAATAGATAGCGCAAAAATCGTAGCAAGGTAGACAGAGAGGTCAACGAGGAAGGGAGGCCTCTCACTTTGGTGAATTTAAGGAAACTCTTCCATTTATAACTATATAACAGGGTAGTGGAGTGTTTCTTTGATTCGTCTAAGATTTCTTTAATCTCGGGAATATTCTCCACACAGTGAGATGGATTGTGTCTATGTCCGGGTGGAAAATGTGTCCAGTGTTCTGAGAGAGAAGGTTGGGGAGGAGTGGAAGCATGAGGTATTTGACTGCCATCGACAGTAGGGTCAGGAACCACGCCTGACGAGGCCAGAATGGTGCTACAAGAATGGCGCGTGCAGACTCCTGTCGAAGTTTCACCAGAATCTTCTGTACAAGCAGGAAAGGCGGAAACAGGTAGAGGAGGCCGACTTTCCACAATATCATGAACGCGTCCCCCATTGAGCCCAGTCCGCGACCTGCTCTGGACGTGTAGCGTGGGCACTTCTTGTTGTGTTCCGTCGCAAAGACATCCAGGACGGGTGTCCCCCAACAGCGGCATAGGTCATGGAAAACTGAGGACTTTAGTTCCCACTCGTGCATCTGGGTCCGGCGGCGGCTGAGTTTGTCGGCTCGTAGGTTGTCTTCTGTCGATATATGAACCATCACCAGAAAGATGTGGTGACGGTAACACCATTCCCAAAGCGTCACTACCAGAAACAGAAG